ACATCAGCGGTTGCGTTTTTTGAGGATATTGAAGGAATGCTTACAACCAGCTAGTTCGGCTCTTGGTTCCCAAGGAAGACAACAGGATATGAATCTTAATATTCTCTTCATGATTGGATGATCGGTTTGTTTTTATACGCATTTGAATCGAAGTTGAGGTGCTGTTCGCTTTCAGATTAGGTATCTTTGATTAGCATCTGCATGTAAGTAGTGCCCTGCCGAGGCCGATGATGGAGCAGGATGGAATATACACTATCATTTGACATTTGAGGATGGGGTTGTCTAAACCCTAGTCATCGCCATGACTTTGGAGGTACAACTCATGCTGATGATTGGAGTTACAGCATCATGTTATGAAAGGGTTGGTGTTAATTACAATCATGCTGTTGATTTCTTGCGTAATCATTCTGTTGGTGTTATCTATAATCATTCTGGAATGGGCTGCAGTTTCGACCAAATTTTAAAATGGATCAACTATACTTCTTTTGCATTGCAATACTATCAGATTGAGATATAAATGAAACTTTTATTGAATGAATATAAGAGTTATTTTATGTTTTCTAAATTCAATTATTTTATTAAGATTGTTACAAGGAAATGTCTCAATGCCATTAAATTTGTCATCTATTGATTGATATGTGGTCAATAGTTTATATGCAAATTGTTCGCAATTTTTTAGTTTATCAGCAGTTTGACAATTTTTTATTAGTTTATTATTTTTTCTATCTATGAAAATGAGAATTTTGAGTCATGTAAACAGTCTATGATATGCATAATATTCTAATTATAAATGTGAAAACTTCTTTGACTATTTCAGATTTTAATCTTTGATGAAAAGCTATAATTAAAAAGTTATGGGCGAAATTATCTCCTTATATGAACAATAGACCTCTTTGACCACCAAAATGGGACATCACTCTCTGAAAAAAGGCCTACAAATTAGGAAATTTACTCTCGTTTGTAATTCATCAAATTTACTATAAAATCTATTAACTAAAGTGAAGAAACAATAATCGTCAAGGTGTTTATTATTGTAAGTCATATTTACTAATATGAAATAAAAAAAGAGGTTGCAAACTCTCTTAAAAATAATGAAATACAACTCATTATATTAAGATTCCTTACATTGTAATGTTTGAGGTTCTGTCGAAAAATTTAAAATTATGCATGATCATGTTAGAGCACACCTAAGGTGGTTGATTTCATTAGAAATTTGCACGAAATTAGGCAAAACTTTGTGACCTGTAGAGCAATATTTCAATAAATGAGATTTAAATTTATAACATTTACTTCAACCCATTTTCTCTACTTATTCTTTCTTCTCAATCTTCACAGTTCGAACCATCACCTTTTATTCTTTTCCTCAAACTTTTTAGTTAAATTCATCTCGAGTTAAAAATGGTTCTGATAAAGTTATTTAAAGGGGAATTTACATACTGTTGGATCTCAGATTGTCTTTTGTAAACACACCTTGAGAAGAACCGAGTGAAGGAGGTAATAAAGTGAACCAGAGTTATTGCGGAGAGAATCAGTGGAGTCCCGATAGCCTGCCTCCCTTTGATCATAATGTTCTCTCTTATTTATAAGAATATATTTTGTACAATTACAGAAAGATGGAAACAGTTGTGAAAATCGTTCTTAATGTAATTGATTGTATGGATTTTATTCCATATTTATATTACAATTTGAATTTCGATATGATAGTAATTTGTTGATCGGTTCACTAAAATGCGACCGACTGAGGCGGTAGACTGGGTGGTGATCGTGTTTTGTGTTTGGTCGATCGAGGCGTTCGGTTGAATGACGATCTCATCAGTCGTCACAAAAACATGTCGGTCATCCAATCACAATTAAAGGGTTTCTGCCCGCGCTTCAGTAAGTCGGTTGGTCGACAAATGAGCTGATTTGTTTTTATCGGGTGAACCATCGCTCACTTGTCGCTTTGGCTCAAGTTTTACTGGCCCTACGCCCCGTCTACCTAGTCGGTTCGTTGTCTCAGCCGAATACCCCTAATTGCAAGGTCTTAGGTGGATTTTGTCGTTGCCTGTGTGAGGTATCTAATAAAACTTGTTGCTTGGATGAATTAGGTCTCGCCCTTGGTGGATCTTCTCGTTATTGGGAGAGGGACTATCCCCAGGGCTTTGATCTATCCCGTGTTTAGGTTGTCAATCTGGAGCAGGTCGACGGAAGATTCGAACGACGCAATGGAGTCAATCGGGTCGTTCCTTCCTTTGTTGGAATCTAAGAGTGGACTCCTTAGCTTTGGCGGAGGTATCGTCTTTTTGATTTGGAGAGTAAAGGCCCCTCCTGTGAGCATCTAGACAGGCACTCGCATCCGTTCTTCCCATCGCTTGTTCTCCTGCGTATATGTGATTGTGTCGGTGTGTTGGGATTTGCCTTGTACCTCTGTCTACTGATTGCTGACCTGGTTGTGCGGGATAGACAGGTTCTTTGGTGGGGGCCTTTGGGGACGAACCCCCTTGGGGTTCCTTTTCTAGGCGAGACGTTTGGTCGTTCCTCTTGTGATTGCAACCTGGAGGATCTCGAATTTCTCCATCATGAGGGTCATTTGAGCTTGTAATTCCTGAATCTATACATGGACGTTTGGTTGTGCAGCGTATCTGTTGGGTTCCATGTGTGCTATCTTTCTTTTGAAAGTTTCTCCTTTATAGTTTGCTCCGCTTCTGGTCTGGGACATGTCCACGCTCACCGCACCAACTTTCAGGATATTGGATCCCGGATTGTCTTTTGTGAATACACCTCGAGAGTTAGAGCAGAATGAGAGAGAGAATAAAGTTAACCGAGTGTTACTGCGGAGATAACCGACGGAGTCACAATAGCTTGCTTCTCTTTGATCGTCACTTTGTCTCTTATTTATAAGAACATATTTTGTACAGTTACAGAAAGAAGGGAACAATTGTGAAAACCGTTCTTAGTGTAACCAATGCTCTTATTAATTGTATGAATTTCATTCAATATTTGTATTATAATTTGAATTTAATATGATGGTAATTGGTTAATCAAGTCGGTAGAATGCGACCGACCGAAACGATCGACTTGGTGGCGACCGTGTCTTCTGTCTGGTGGACACAGGTGTTCGGTTGAACGACGATCTCGTCCGCAGCAGCAAAAATAGGTCGATTTTCCAATCAAGACCATGGTGTTTCTGCCTGCGATTCGGTCGATCGCTCGGTCGACGTATGAGTCGATTTTTTTTTGTCGGGTGAACCGTGTTTCAATTGTATCTTTTGCTCAAGTCTTACATAACCTACGTTTTGTCTACCTGGTCGATTATTCACTTCTGCCGGATGCCCCTATTTGTACGGTTTTAGGCAGATGTTATCGTTGTTTGTGTGAGGTATCCGGTGAGACTTGCCACTAGGATGAAATATGTCTCGCTTTTGACAATTTTTGTCGCTATCGGGCCAGAAGCCATCTCCAGAGCTTTGACCTGTCTCGGGTTTAGAGATGCTGCTTCACTCACTTTACGGTGACTTGTCAAACGACTGTTTACCCTTGGGAGAAGTTTTTGTTTTTGGTCGTTCGTTTTCTTTGAGATTCGTGCCGATAAGTCTAGTGTTTATAACTACATAGCACCATTTCTTCTATATTTACTTATCTCACATCTAAGCTTTCATATTTACACACATATCACTCAAATTTTTAATATCACATCAAAAATAGCACTATCACTATTTTTTAAGAGTGAAATACATATTTTCAGGCATTGATTTAATGCACCAAAGTGTTGTGTGTAAACATGAAAGTTTTTGAGATGAGACATGTAAAGATGTAAGAATTGGGTGCTACATATGTAAATTTCCCTTACTAAAAATACGCAGTTGAAGTTATTGAAACTTCATTTCAAGATCAAGGCCCTAAAATCTTAACAACATTTGAATCATAAATTTTTTTTAGAGTATGTTCAACAAATCAAACAAGAAATAGTAAAAGAATAAAGCATATTTCATATTATATCATTCAATAATTAAACAGATACAACTACTACACAGGATAGCAAATTTTATAAATCCATCTCACTCATGTAGCAGTATTACGTACAGCATTGGTAAGCTTTTCTTATTCATTACCAATAAAACACATATCATAGCTGCACCAACATCTCCTTGATACTCTGAAACCTTGATCCTTTATCAGAAAACTTAGTGTCAGTATAATAATTAAGATAATCTTGGAAACGATAATGTCCAGGATACAAGAGCTTTGGTGCTGGAGAAATTATTGCATTTGCGCCCGGATTGTAAAATGTCGCAATGGAGAGACGACTCCCATCCTTGTTAGGAATAACTCTATGCAAAATACTTTTATAGATACCGTTGCTTACAACTTCCAACTGGTCACCAAGGTTCACGAATATCCTGTTATCTTTCGTTGGAGTTATTGGCACCCACTCGTCGTCTTTCCAAAACTCGAGTCCTGAGACGAAATCATCCTGGAGCAATACAATGATTCCACCTGCATCAGTGTGAGCTCGGAGTCCTTTGAACTGTTCTGGTTTTGGGCATTGGGGGTAAATTGCTACTTTTGTGCCTATGTGAGGCTCTGAAAATGTCTGCTTCAGGTAATTTTTATCTAATCCGAGGTTCTCACTCAATAGTTCTGCCAGCTTTTCGGCTAAGTTTATTACCTGATCAATGTAATCTTCCATTGCTTTGCTGCATCATAAATATTTCATTTGGAAGTTATGGTTATAAATAAAATGAAAAAGAAAACTCATTTCGTTAGATGTTTGCTTCTGTTAGTTGCAGATAAAAGCTTAACAAAATCAGTGAGAAAAGTGTCAAATTATTTTCCTTACTCTTTGCAGGGGGTCATTTTAGCCCCATAATCTATAAAAGTGTAAATTTAGTCTCCCTTTTAATATGGTCTGAAATAGTGATCATGAAGGACTATTTCAGCCCCAATTTAAAGAACGTGTGGAGTAATTTGATATTTTTATAGACTCTAGGACTAAAATAGCCCCATACAAACAGTTAGGGGACTATTTTGACACTTAACTCTCATATTTAAGGGATTTGTAGAGCTCGAGTGCTTGTTTTCTACCTAAATGCAACCAAATGAGACTAGGGATATCTATTACTGAAGCCAACAGAAAACTTGATCCTCCATAGTGTTCATTCACAAGAAAGAAAGTGAATAAAAAACATAGAAATTAGAGGCTTGCTAGGGCTCAGGTTTCAGGTTTACAATGGCTTCTGTGTTTGTATCAGGCTTATGGCGAATGAAAATGCTGCTTTCCCAGTCAAAATCCATAACTTTATTCGGAGTTTCTAATCCTTTTGCCAAGTCTGACTCATAGAAACTATCTTTCATGTTCACCTCATAGTGCAATTTCACTAAAGTTTTGATCTTTTCCATCAATTCTTCACTAATTCCATGATTTTCAACCTGCAAATTTGTCTCAGATGCATGCTAAGAGTCCGATTAAGTACATGATTTAAACAATTTAAAATTACACTGTACTTACCCAAAAGAAGCCCCACTTTGCACACGCCTCATGTAATAATGACATTGTTTGGCTCCTCTTCTCTCCATTCAGCTCTTCTAAGTTGATTACTGGAATTGCCATTTTGTCTTTAACGGAAATAAGAAACTTATAAGAAAGCTAGTGGTAATGAGCTCAAGTTAAATAATTGTGCTTACCAGAAGCACAATTTATAGAATTCTACGGAGCGTCCATAGAATACAGAATGAAGAAGAAATGGAGGAGAATCTGTTTTCTTTCTATTTGGCCTCTTCAACAGGTCCAAGTTCATTGTCTTCCCATTTCCCTTTGTAGGCATTAAGCCTTTACTGTTTTTTACTTCTTCCATGTGCCTCTTTGGAGTCTGCTGGCTTAAAATTAGGGACATTTACATACATAGCCCATAATCCTGATGTATTTGCATATCTCACTCCTAAACTTTCATATTTACACACATATCACTCAAATCTTTGATATCACATAAAAAATAGCACTATTACTACTTATTAAGGTGAAATACACCTTTTCAACAAATTGTGTGCTACACATGTAAGTTTTCCTTGAATTTTATTTCGAATAAATATAGTCCTATCTTGATATTTTGCATTTTTTTTTTTTTGCATGATGAAATGATATTATTATATTGGAAAAATAATCAATTAATGATTGTCATTATCCACTTATGATTTTCCTCTTGCACTTGGCCTTATCATTTGTTTTTCTTGGGTCTTGTTTTTTATTAGCAATATAGGATAATTTCAGTGCAACACCTCTTAGTTATCATGTGATGACTCTCTTTGATTATGTTTGTCAAAGCGTGGCACCCATGTGAATTCTACTCCAACTTT